CTATTTACTGAATGTTCTCCAATGCCACCAATTCAGCTATTTTCAAAATATTAACAGGTTTGGTGTGGTGGCACATACCTATAATCCCAGCACTTGGGAAGCAGAGGCAGGAGGATTATGAGTTCAAGACCCTCCTGGGCTACCTAGTGAGTTCCAGGCCAGTCTGTGCTACATAGAGAAAACCCTGTCTCATAAAACCAAAAAGAAAAAAATTCAAACAGGAATATTTAGTATTTTACATATTTTAAAAATGAGAAAAAAGTGGATACAAAAATCATCTCAGGTATTTATCAGCTACTAAAATCCTCACCTCAGGACTTTTAGCAAAATTTTTAATTTTGATGCAGTACTCCAAAGCTTCTACTGGTTCTAGACTTTTATTTGGCCTAAATTCATCAGATGAGGGCTCAGGCCCATAGGAAGTTGTGATCTGTACTTCTGACCAGCTGGGTCAGATCAGTTTCCACAAGTCCTTCTTTGGATTTATTTTCTAGAGTAGCTCACAGAACTCAAGGAAATACTTCTTACATTTCACAGTTTATTATAAAGTATGTTATAATGCAGATGAACAGATGGAGAGGTACACAGGGCAAGATCTGAAAGGTTCTCCAGTGCAAGAGCTTCTGTCCTAGTGGAGTTGAGGAGCATTACCCTGTCCTTATGTGGATGTGACACAAGCCTGACAGTTGTACTTTCTGTATTTCATTAGATGACAATCTACAACAAATGTCATCAAAGACATAATTATCAAAGACAAATGATATCTCTTCATGTTACTGAGCATTATTACAAGAATAAGTGACAGTCTCCCATTTCCCTCCATCCCCCCAGTACTTGGGATCAAACCCAAGATTTGCCTTTTGCAAATCTAGACAAGCACTCTTGTCACAAAGCTGTACCGACAGCCCTACGTAGCAGGTTTCTCTTTGATCCTACAAAAAGTTTAAGCATACAGAGAAAATGTTAGATACATCCCAGAGTATAGGAAACTAGAGATTAAAATCGTCAACACAAGCAGTCACCATTATTCATACACATGCATGTGTTTATGAGATGTGAACTGAACTAGGGCATACATACTTGACACCCACAGAAGAAATGCTTGATGTGTATGTGTGTGAAATTCCAAATGTATCAGATTTTTGTGTGTTGATTTGTAAGAGTAAAGGGAGATAGCTTATTTTTCCTCCAAAGCTACACAACTAGAAGAATATCAAAATGACTAAATTTAATTATTACTGCATATACCTAAGCATTGTTGGCACACCAAAGATGGTTGGATGAGTAATAAAAAACACTATTTAAATATATCTGATACACAAATATATTCCATAAATTTTGCTTGCCTTCATTTCAGTGAAATCATTAATTGTCTTATAATCAAGACTCTCACATAATCTGTGATGGTAATGAGATAAAAAATTAAAAACTTAAACACAAGTATATTTGTAGTTAATGTAAAATTAAATTTAAAGTTTTCAAATGTTTAAATGACCTATTATAATTAAAGTACAAAATGCAAATACTAGGTATAAAATTTTAAAGTTTATGGAAAGCTGATATTTTATTAAATATTTTTATAAAAATTAAGCTATCTGTAATACTAACATCCAAGGCCAACTGGTTGCCAATCTAATTTCATGTGTCATATTTGTTATGGTTAGACACATACATATCTAAATTTAAGAGTAATGTGAATTGTTTAGTGTAAGAAAATGTTCTCAGCAATCATATACAACAGTCCTACTCAGAAATAACACCATTAGGTAAGAAAGCATTGCATGCACATTGATTGAAAGGATTTGACAAGCTAATTTATCAGTCCTTCCTCTTCCTCAGTGACTTTCACAGCTCAAATTCTCCCTGTATTCTAAACAAGGGTTTCTCTCTAGAGTCAATAGCAGGATAATCCATAAATTTACTTCACAGTATTTGATCACAATCTTTTTGTTTCAAAGACAGGACAAGAGGTATGCATACGCATTTCCCTGGGACCTGAAAAGTATCAGTTATAACACAGATAAAGTTCAGACCTGTATTGCATATAGTAAGCAGCTTTCTAAAAGCTGTTCTCAGAAATTCCCATCTCCTGATATTCATGCCCTGTGTACTTCCCTCAATGTGAGAATGAAATGGACTTAGTGTCTTGCTTCTAACAAACAGGGTATGAAAAAAATGACGGAACAAGCATAAAACCTGTGAGTTTTGTCTTGCAGGCACTCTCTATTGCTGGCTTTGCAAAAGCAAGCTGTCATGTGGGAGAGGCCCATATGGCAAGAAACTGAGGGTGGCCGGTGAACAATATCCAGCAAGGAACTGGGAACCTCAGTCAAACAAACCTTAAGGAGTCAAATCCTGCCAAAATTATGTAAGTTTAGAAGTAGATCCTTCCACAGCTAAAACTTTCAGATGAGATCAATGGCAACATCTTTACTGTAGCCTGTGACAGACAGTCTGTTTACTTCTGATTTATTAAGCCACATGAGATGGCTAAGGAGCCCAGAACCTCATTATCAACTTGTTAGAAGTTTATTTATATAAAATCTTGAGTTGGTAAAACATATCTCAGTGGTTTGTAAAAACCACTGTATTCTTGTGGTTTCAGTTAGAATTTTCTAAATAACATCCTCTTACAGAGCCCACAGCATACAAAAAGCCCTTCAAATATTTTTGTCACGTTAACAAATGGATATCAAAGTGGTTGTTTCCAATTGCAACAACTGCTTAAAAGGAAACTATATGAAAAGTAAAAATATACCTGTAATGGTATTCTAAAAATACCCTTAAATGAGATGCTTTAAAGTCTCTAGCCCAACAAAAGTTATGTTATCCTGTAAACATAGTTTGCTACACAGCAATCCTTACAGACACAGTATTCCCACCACCAGTAAAAAGATCTCAGACAGTGTACTGCTAGTGGGGATGTAGCTACTTCATCTTCATATATGAAAGCAAACCTATCTTACAAGTTTAACAACCACTGTCTCATAATGAAGACCAATTCAGTAAGACTTTAATATATAAGAAACATGAATAAAGACTTATCATTTATCCTATCACAACAAATTCATTGCTTATAATCCAAAGTATCTTTTATTTACTGTACTTAGATAAATTCGTAACTTCACAGAGACCCATTGGTATCATGATAGCTTATAGCTAAGAAACAGAACTAAAAAAAACCATCAAAACCCCAATTGGAAACAGAACTGTAAAAGATTTCTCTCTTACTAAAGAAGAGTGTAATAGACAGGACTGCTAAAAATGTTTGGGATTTACTCTCTTACACTTTATCTGCTGACCATAACAGAGATGAAGATTGAAGTAGTTTGAAAATACTGTGAGGATTAAACCAGACTATATTCTTCACATTCTCTAGGGAAATAAACTTTAGGTTGTGTGAAGTACCCTCAACTTCCCGGGGCCAAGAACAACTGCTGCAATGAAAGAGCAGAGTAGTTAGCATCAAGGAGGTGTTGTCACTACAGTGAAGCTAGCTAGAATACCTACTTGTTGACGTGAGCAAAATCAACTCTGTATCTTTGTTCATCTTAAGTGTATGGAGCTTTTGATAAAACATATAGATGTTTAAAAGAATGTTTTAAACACAGAAGGGAACTCTCCATCTCAAAGAAATCTAGTTATAAATATAAAATCTCTTCCAAAACTTACTCAAATGATCTCTTACTTTACAAAATTATTATACAAAAATACAACACAGGGAAATGTCTACTACATAGTTCATATTGCAAGTAAGTGGTAAGAAATACCATAAATGCTAAATAAATGATAATTTACAAATGACATAAACTTAACTATATTAAAGGGTATGGCTATGGAGGTAACTGTGTCATTTAATCAAAGTGATGAACAAAGTCAAAATCAAAAACTTCAGACACAGTTGAAGGGAGATTCACAGAAGTGACTCCTTAAATAAAACTGAGGGTAAGCCATGCAGTGGAAATGAGTTCTAGCTGTAATTACTTCACACTTTTACTTTTTATTTGAAATAACTAACTCATAGCTAAACAATAATCATAAAAGTTATTTAAAAAATATAATTACCAGATTTTTTTCAGTAGTAAACTGAACTGCTGACCAAAAAAGAAATCCCAAAGGCAAAGAAATAAAAGGAAAATTTTTAAATGCATTCTCAGAACAATAACAATTCATGGAAGCAAAGAAATTAAGATTCCTATACAAGAAGACAGTTAAAGTGCCCTTCCCTATCTCACTTTTAATTCTTTGATATGGAAATCTAGACCAGGACCACACCTGTCCTTATCTAGGCTGGTTCTGTATTATCTTCACACTGTTTCTAGCGCTTTACCTGAGGAAATAATCTAATTTAATGAATTCTTTTCTAATATCACAAAACTAAAGCAATGTATTATCTTTCAGGAAAAGAAAAAGTCTCTTTAAAACAAAAAGAAACAAATACTCTAAATGAAAACAAACAAAAAAGAGTAGTAACTATGAAGCTAACTTAAAGTCTATTAGCTACACAGTACATGGAAAGATATCATTTTAAAAAGATTCTGAAGAGAAAAGAAAGGAGAAAGCATAGGTTCTTTTTTTTAAGGTTTTATTTTTAAACATTATTTCTGAATAAATGAAAATCACTCTTTAAGAGAACAACTTTTCTTTTTCATGTAATTAGGTTGACAGAACTATGAGAGAGATTAAATCAGGTTGTAAATAAACAAAAAAGAATAAAGATCTCTCCCTTCCTCAACTAAATAGCACTATTAATAAAACAAAGATTCGCCTACTTTTCTTCCCTTTCATTAGTTTGAAATTGTGAGATGTTGCTGACATAATGAAATGAATAAGATAAAGAAGGAATATGATTTGTTTATAGCACAAGCAGGTCTTCCTATAATGATTTCAGATTTTAAGAAATGACTAAATATTTTGCAATACAAAGCAATATGGCAGTTAATATTATTAAAGATTTAAGTAGCATTTGCACTTCACGTATTACTAGATATGTGTGTTACCTCAACAATATCCGAGTTGGTTCTGCTTTCATGAGGCTCATTATATTCTGTATACTTGAGAAGAACTTTGTCCATATCAGTGCTGGCATATTGAAACAGTTTGTTAGAGCTGTTGAAAATGATGAGTGCTATTTCACAGTCACAGAGCACACTGAGTTCATAGGCTTTCTTCATCAATCCAAACTTTCTTTTTGTAAAAGTGACCTAGACAATCAAAGAAAAAAGTATCTTTTTATTAAAAGCATTAGTAGTATTTGAAATATACGCTACTTGAAGACGAGTCTCTTAATATTGAGCTGTATTTCAAAGATGGAAAAGAATCCTAGCCTCATGTGCCACATGAGCCTTGCTCTTCCCCATTTTGCCATAGGACTATAGTTCTATATTTATCTTGGGTGCCCAAGGCTCTGAAAGAGAGGTCTTTCCTCTTTCAAGGAAGTATTCCCTTATCCTTGACTCTGGCTATACTATAGAAGGCAGACACACACACACACACACACACACACCTGGCTATACTATAGAAGGCAGACACACACACACACACACACACCTGGCTATACTATAGAAGGCAGACACACACACACACACACACACACCTGGCTATACTATAGAAGGCAGACACACACACACACACACACACACCTGGCTATACTATAGAAGGCAGACACACACACACACACACACACACACACACCTGGCTATACTATAGAAGGCAGACACACACACACACACACACACACACACACACACACCTGGCTATACTATAGAAGGCAGACACACACACACACACACACGAGAAAATAGTTACTATAGAAGGCAGACACACACACACACACACACACACACACACACGAGAAAATAGTTACCAGTGGTCCCTTATCATTCAGTTTAGAATTGTTACCAGAAATACTAAATCTCACCTCAGGTATTCCAACAGTGCCCAGACTCTTAATCCTTGAACAACTAAGTACATCTACTAATCTGAATTATGCTTTTCCTCCCTCTCAAGCCTTTTTACTACACCCACTGAAATTCACAATCTAGGATCAGCAAATTCTCTGATGTCCTCAAATTCTTTACTATTTCTCTAATTGAAACCTGCCACCTGAAATTCTCTCGAAGATAGATCAAAAATTTTTTATTATTTATTAAATCCCTATCCTCAAGGCCCCAAGAAGGGCTCCTCATTCTCTCTTCCAAAGTACTTTTCCCTCCGTCTCCTTCAACCCACATATGTCAAGGTTTATACTGTGAAATTACACCACCCAATCACCTCTTCTGGTGAGCACAAAGTGACACACACCCCCTGTAAGTCTTCTCATGAGAACCACCTGACTCATACTGGGTGACTTCAGTCCCTGTCAAAAAAATTCACACAAATATCTTGGCTTCTCAGTTCCTTTATCTCTCAACCTTCAACACACATTCATCACTCCCATGTCACATCTTCAACTCGGGCATCACCACAGTTAACATCATCTCTAGAATCTTAACTTCATGTAATGCACTTTGCTTTCTTTTACCTTTTTAAGTCCTCTAATCCATTTACTCTGCCACTTTGTTAACTACAAGTCAAGCAGTCCTTTACCCAAAATGCTTGGACAAAAAGTGTTTCAGATTTGGGGTTTTTGTGGATTTTGAAATATCTACATGCACTCAATGAGATTTCTTGGCGATAGGACGTAGGCCTAGATACACATGAATTTATGTTTTATATATACCTTATCCACACAGCCTGAAGGTAATATTAGTCAATGTTTTTTTAACATGCCTGCATTTTGACTATGACCCATTACATGAGGTCAGGTATGGAATTTACCACTATGACTTCCTATCAGTGCTCAAAAAGTTTCGTATTTGGGGGGCACTGGGAATGCTGGATTTTCAGATTAGGTGTGCTCGGACTGTACCCTCATGGCTTTTCTTCTCACGTTAGATTTGATAGTCCATTACTATTTCCACTCCCTTCCATATACACATAACTCCTTTACCCTTCTCTCATTAACTACTTGCTTAACATAGCCCCACCCAAAGACGGACTTCCTAACACATGACTTTCCCTGCATCTTTATGCAAGTAGCTGACAATTCCTAGGAATGAATCACACACACACACACACACACACACACACCACACACACAAACGTATACCCTGTTGTCTCTGAAACAACTATAAATCTCAACACTCAATGTTGCCTGACATTCCTGACTTGATTTGTTCGTGTCATTAACCCATTCTCTAAGTCAACTATTTCCTATTTTCTCTCCCAATTCACTATCTCCTGATAATCTTGCTTCTAAATCATTGAAAAAACAGAAACAAAAGGACTACATCCTCTTTCTATCACCAAATCTTATCAGTTTAGCTGTCCCATCTGTACCTTCTATTCTCCATTCTCTGCTGTTGACATATCTGTTTCTATTCCATGCTGTATGTTTCATTCTCTTCTCCATCTATTCAATTAGATTAAATACTCTTAAGCATATAAATGTGCTCTTACCCTTCAGCTTTACATTGCCCCTACGATCACCAACCTTTCTCTCTGCTCTCTACTTCAGAGTAAAAATGTTTGAAAGAAATGTCTGTAGTTGTTTGAGATTTCTTACCCTCTAGTGTCTCCTTAACCAATTATAATTAGAATTCCATTCCACCAATACTGCTATTATTGGTGAACTTTAATTTATGTGATTAAAGTCATGGTCATTTTTAGTTCCTATCTTAATGTATACCTCAGCATCATTTGACAAAGCTGACCATACTCCCGCTCTTCACTTTCTATTCCAGATGTTCATGACACATTCTCCCAGTTCATTGGGCTGCTTTCTCTCAACCTTTATTGTTACCCCTTTTCCTCTGCTCAGCCTCTACACACTTAAGTGCCTATCCACTTTCAACTTGGGCTCCCTTCTCCTTTTATCCTCAGCTTTTGCCTGGTGATTGAATCATGGTTTTGAAAGCAATAAATAAGCTCTTTTTACAGTCTTCTCAATTTCAGCAAAGGTACCATCCCCTATTCAAATAACGAAAACAGGAAACAATTTTAAGAGTTACCCTTGACCCCTCTTAGCTTAACAATCTACTCTATCCATCAGCAAATTATGCCAACTTTTACCTTAAAATATATCTTAAATCTATCTACTTCTATCTATACCACTACTATTCAAGCAAAAAAGGCTGGAGGCATTGCTCAAACAGAAGAGCACTTACCTAGCAGTGCAGGGCACTGAGTTCAAACCCCAATACTGTGTGTGTGTGTGTGTGTGTATGTGTGTGTGTGTGTCCCCTCCATCTCCCTATCTGTTTTTATTTTCCATTAAGCCACTCTGTCATGAGTGTGTGCATATAAGCATGTATGTTGTGCTCCTTGGACATCAGCTGCTTTCCAACTTAGGAACTTTGCTTTCTTTCCTCTTTGTGAAATACTCATCATACACATCTACTTAATGGTTGCTTCCTTAACCTTTAAAAAAACCTCTTATTATTTATGTAAATACACAAATATAATTTTACATAAATATGTATATGGAACAGAACATCTTTTGCTTGTCTCCCCACTTTTCCTTGTAGCTAAGTAAAACCCTTAAGGTTTACTACACAGTATTTTTCACCCTATATTTTTGTATGAGATCATATAACCATATACATATGTCTGTATACACATGTATGGGATTTTGTCAGTGTTCTACAAAAATGGGGTTCTGTCAATATTCCTTTCATTATTTTACTCCTTTGACCACAGTTCATAGATGTCTTTAGGTCAAACACTGTATCACTAAGGGTACTTTCAAAAAATTTCAGAATATTTTCATCTTGTTGTTAATTTACTCCTTTAATCTTTAGTATAAGATAGGTGCAAAACAAAACCTCATTTCTTTAATATGCATTTGCCTAATCTGTAGCGATTTTACAACCTTCTTTTTTTTGGACAATCTTTTTCAGTTGTCACTTGTTTTCTCTAAATTGCCTGCCTTTTGATCATTTCCCTGTGCTGTAATTTGTCTTTTACTTGTCTAAGTAAGAGATTCTTAGATATGTTCACCATGTTTTACACATACTTTTTCATTTATGTTAACTTTATGTACTATCTGTCATTAAAAAAGTTTTCAATTTTTATTACAGACCGCAACACTGGTTATCAGAATTTTGGCATTATATATCACTGTTAAAATATAACACATAAAAATAAAACATACAATCTTAAAACAATGTAATCTGAATCACTTATGACTTGAGGTGTACCTAAATATACTTGCAGCATTAAAATTTTGACTTCAGCAAAAATGCAGCAATTTAGAAAATATTTACACATTCTTTTAATACTGAAGAGAAAGAAAATGGCAATAAACAGTGTGAAGCATTTACTGCAAGAACAATTCTTATCTAACCAGAAACTTTCGAAATGAGTGTGATACTAACGAGATAGTATTACAATTGGGACAGCTAATGCCTCTTCAAAATATGTCTTAAGCTAATTAAAGAAAATTCTTTCTTAAAAATAATAGCTCAATATAAATTAAAAGAATACAGTCCTGGCTGTCCTTTCCAGAAACACATACTCAACACTTCTTCAAAGTTATCAATCACAAGAAGTGGACGATGAAGGAAGGTGTTAGAGGAAGAAGCAATGTCAGCTTATAATGATCTCTCCATTCTTCCAACTTACTCCAACCAGAATAAAGTCAGAAGAGAGCCTTTTCAGCAATCAATTTGCAAGGAAAAAAACCCACACGCTTATGCTTCACTGATGTCACCAAAATCTATGAACTGAAAAATTGTGAATTTAATATAGTACTTCAAAGCTTTCTAAATAAAAACTTCATTTATCTTTAGCACTTAGTCTATTTGTTATTACTTTTTTAGACTAGCTTTATAGACTGACAGCCAAATGAAGAGGAAACTACAGAAAGTTTTCATAAATCCCATTCCCACACTTGCATAATCTCCCCCATTATCAACATACCCTTGCCGAATGGTGCATTTATTTCTAATGACACATAGCTATCACCCAAAACCCATGGCTGACATCAGGGTTCACTCAGTGCTGTCTATTCTGCAGCATGTATGATGACATGGTATACGACTGTAACAGCATAGAAAGTGTTCTCACTGGCCTTAAACTCCTGAATAACATGGCACTGTCTACATGCAGTGCAGTTTATTTACCTGCTTGTGTACTGAAGGGTATCTTTTATATTGCAGTGCTG